GTCCTTTATTTGATATATGTTGTGCAAATATTTTCTTCAGTCGATGGCTGTTGTTTCATTCTCTTAATAGTGTCTTTTGCAGAGTAAACTTTTTCAATTTTAATTAAGTCCAACCTCTCAATTTTTTTCATGGATTGTACTTTCGGTGTTTTATCCAAAAACATCATTAAACCCAAGATCACCATCATTAAACCCAAGATCACTTAGATTTTCATTTATATTTTATAGTTTTGTGTTTTATATTTAGGTTTTTGATCCATTTTGAGCTAATTTTTGTGACAGATATAAGGTTTGTGTCTAGATTAATTTTTTATTTTTTATTTTAGCATACAGGATGTCCAGTTGTTCTAATACAATTTGTTAAAAGAACTATCCTTTCTCCATTGAATTGCCTTTATTCCTTTGTCAAAGGTCAGTGGACTGTACTTGGATGGGTCTATTTCTGGGCTCTCTATTCTGTATCATTGACCTATCTGTCTGTTCTTTCACCAATACCACACTGTCTTGGTTATTGCAGCTTTATTGTAAGCCTTGAAGTCTGGTAATACCAGCACTCTGACTTTGTTCTTTTATGACATTGTGTTGGTTTAGTACATATTTTTTGAGCAATATATTTTTCTACTAAGATGAGTTATTTTGTTGGGTAAATGATGTTACAGTAATAATAGTAGTAATATTTAATATTTATTAAACGCTGTATGTCAGGCACTGTGCTAAATTCTTATTATGGTTAATCTCATTGAACTCTCTGGCAGCTTTAAATAATATGCAACAACATTTTACCTGCCTGCCTATTGATCTATCAATGTGTCTGTCTCTCTCTTCTATTATTGACACTCGACCTCAAAATCATGTCCAAGGACATATAAATACTAAGTGCAAATGTTTGGACTGGGACTCTGGCTCTATAACCTTAGCCAGCCCTATAGCATATCATATCCCATATTTACAGATATACAGATATGTATCAAAGTGTACTTGTATATTTTTATATCAGACTCCAGATGGGTAGAGAGAGAAATAGATATTTTCCAGATCAGAGCCAAGATTTTTGTTTCCAACTACTTTAGGGCTGGAGGAAAAACAGACAACAAAGCCTAATTCCTCCCACATGGGCTGCCAGGTGTTAATCTGCCTGCAGAAGCCTCACAGTGAGTTCTGCTCTTCCTGTGTCTTTTCTAGTTGCCTCTTCTATATGACATTTCCTAAAGAGGGATTAAATGAACGTAATAATCATTGATAATTTCGTGCGGTTTTCCTCTCTTCTTGCTAAACGCCACCTCTCATTATGTTCCTCGGCCCTGTCCCGGGCTGCAGAATACTGCTTTCACAGCAAACCATATCTTCTTTGTTGCTGTTGCCTTCAAAGATAATTAGGTGGGTCCTTTCGGAATAAGGAGTTTGCAGCGACGCGTGTGAAAAGATAGAGGCCACAGGAGGGCGTTACAAAGGAGGAGGCCCTGCGGTCCTGGGGCCGGGGCTGGGTGGGCAGGAAGCTTTCCCGCCTCCATCTTTTGGCAGCCTTCCCTTAATGAGAAGGTTTCCCAGGCTGTTTGTTCCAGAATGACTTATTTTCTTCTCTCTCTCTGTCTCTCTTTCCTTTTTTTTAGAAAGAGAATTTTATTTGGAATGAAAATATAGAGCCCATCCCAATGACTTTTTTTTTTTTAAATATATCTTTATTGATTTCAGAGAGAGGAAAGGAGAGGGAGAGAGAGAGATAGAAACATCAATGATGAGAGCCATTGATCGGCTGCCTCCTACATGCCCCCTACCGGGGATCGAGCCCCAAACCCCAGGCATGTGCCCTGACCCGGAATCGAACCTCTGTCTCCTGGATCCTAGGTTGATGCTCAACTGCTGAGCCATGCTGGCCGGGAAGACTTCTTTTCTTAATGAAAGTTATAATTCAGGTAGAGTATAAGATCTACCCCCCCACCCCCATGGAAATAAATTGCATCTTAAAGACCTCTGGTCTGGAAGACCTGTAGTTTACTAGACTACTGTCCCACGCAACAATGACGCCCTGTGGGCATTTCCCCACGTGTCAGACATTGCTCCTGATGCCTTACTAACATGCTCTTCATAGGAGTAACCCATTATGAGATGGATGTACTTATATCCGTTTTCTAGATTAGAAAACAGATGATTCTATCTAAGTAACTCATAGAAGGTTACACAGCTGGGGAAGGCAGATTTGTTTTTCTACCCTGGATAGCTACCCTTTATTGCTCTTGTTAAATCCTGATCTGTATCGCCAAGCTCATTTCTTATTACTTTATGTGCTGCCTTCTGATTATAAGAATGATTCTAATAACCTATAGTTGCTAGATTGATGGAGCAGCATCCTGTGGTTCATTTCTCCTTGTGGCTAGCAATACATATTTGAGAAATAGCTTATCTGTCTTAGTGACTGATATAGGAAACAGTGAATCCAATTAGGTTTTATGAAGCCAGACACTCGAAGCCTTGGCTTGAGGGACAAAATTGAATGGGTGAACTCACTAAGAAATCTGACATAGTACTGAGCCATTTGGTAACTTCCATATCTTAGATTAGTGACTTGAAAGATGAGTTGCTCTCATTTTACCCCTCCTTGGAATTGGAGATAACTTGAAAGATTTATACAGCTTTCAAACTGACTTTATTAAAACCAGATAATAGTTGGTGTTTTGGGAGAATTTAACATCTACTTAATTGTGTTTCAGGTTTGTAAAATTACTGGATTGGTACAGAATGTTTTAAATGCCATACATAGAGCAAAAATGATTGTAGGCCTTTTTGTATTTAGAATTCTAGAATTGTTTTCTGTGTCAAATTTGACGGCAAATTCATGGAGCTATGCCCCTGATATAGAACATGACAGGTCTTAGTTAGCAATTGTTCGATGAATAAAAAATGAGTTGTTAGTTTAATATTAGATTTAAGAGTTTTTCTATTCACTTTTTAAAAAAATAAAGTAATCCCTTTTCTCCCAACTCCCTTCCTTCCATCCTGCCTTGGTTTAGGAATGCTTGTCCATGAACCAAAAATGTGTGTCTAGAAGATGGCTCATAGCTGCATATTAAAAACTTGTGCACACATTAATTTCAGATACCTTTGGGGGTATCTCATGCCTGTCATTCAGAATCTCATTCAAGGTTATTCTTAGGTCCAAATCTGACGCCTTCTGAATATGTTATTTGAGTTACAACGGTGTCCATGGCTACTTCTTTGAATTCTAGCCTCCTTTTAGAATTCTAGTCTCCTCAACCTTTTTATATATCCTTAATATCTAAGAACAGTAAATGCTGCCAAGTCAACAGATACTTAAAGGTTAAACCTGCCATGTCTCTGCAACATGTAAAGGCAATTCTCTGGCGACTAATGTTTATTTATGGCTGCTTGGAACCTGACTTCTATGAAGAGTATCTGAGTATTGCAAGATTATTTTTATAAGTACATTTATTTTGTTTGCACCATCCACCTTAGGCAACCTGCCTTGGCTATTTAGCTTCTTCTGTTTGAAACTTAGAGGCTATTTTACATGATTATGTCTCTTTATTGTTGTAGAGGTCACAATTATTCTAGTAGATCTAGTGAAATTAGCCTAAGAATTTGAAATTTGGAGGGAGAGGGGGGCAAGAATGTGTGGGTTATATAACTTCAGAGTTTCATCTACCTCTTCTGATTAGGTAATGAGAGGTAATTAAACTTAGTTTATAAATGTTATAATGCCTCTTGGGTTATGGCTGTCAAAAACTGCACATGCAAAAGTATGAAGTTTAAATAAGTAGCCCCAAAAGACTTAAACTTACCTTAATTAATCAAAGCAGTATTTTCCCAACCTCACCCTTTCAAGTTCTTTTTGATTTTGCTCACATGTGCTTGTTATCTGCAGATGATTTATTTTCTGTTTTCACTGAATTGACTCAGTAATCCTAATTACTGAAGTTAGCCTCTATTTAAGCAATAATGTCAATGAAATCACAACTTTGTGGTGCCTGTTATCTATATTTCTAATGAATATTAAAATAAATGCATATCTGTTGAACCACAAAATATTTCAGAACCAACTAAAAGCATTCCTTGTAATTCTGATCTGCTTTTCACATCACAGGACTCATTGGACGCAGGACCACTGTGGGGCCTACATTGAGGATATTCTTATTTTATTTTATTTTTTTAATATTATTTTTTAATCCTCACCTGAGGATAGTTTTTCCATTGCTTTTCAGAGAAAGTGGAAGGGGGAAGAGAGAGAGAGAGAGAGTGAACACTTGCAACTGAGATACTTGCCCTTGGCTGGAATCGAACCCAGGACCATTCAGTCCACGGGCCAATGCTCTAACCACTGAACAAAACTGGCTAGGGTGAAGATATTCTTAACAGCAAAAAAAAATTGGAGCCTTATACTATAGGTGGTCATTTTTGGACAACCTTGGCTCTAAAGGTATAAAGGATGTAGAAGAACCTCCATACCTCTGTTTTACCTTCTAGTAACTGCAATCTGGAAGTTTTGTTTTGTTTGTTTTATGTGTGTGTGTGTGTTGTTGTTTTTTCTTTCTAAGAGGGAGCATTATCAGAAATGCAAAACTTAATAGGTACCCAGGGCAGGAGAAAAGAGCTAATAAAGCCACACCAGCCCTGCCCCTCCTCCCCGAATGCAGATGTGTTGACTTCTAAATGCGGGGAGGGTTCCTTAGTGTAGCCACACAGGGAGCTGTGAGACTTGTCACTTTTCCAAGTCTCAGCTGCTGTAGCTTCTCATTTGTTTGCGTTTTATCTTGCCATGCTGACATCCAAATCGCAGCTTTTGACAGCTGTCCGGAGAGAATGACCAAAGAGAACAGCAGGTAACACAAGCCATTTGTGCAAAAGGCTCAGGTGTGATACTTGTGCAGGCAAAGAGACAGGGTACAATGGAACCAAATGCCAGCTCCTCCTTGTGCAGGGATAAAAGAAATGGATCAACAGCTTTCCTGCTGGAAGCATGGGGGAATTGAGTGGTTATCAGACAATGCTGACATCTGTGTTTCTACTTATGAAACAGATTGGAATGAGAGGAGTGGTGGGGGCTCTTGGGATGTGAAACTCCACTGGATAATTCCCAGTTCTCTGCCCTCTCTCAGGTCCCTGAGCAAAATGGGAAATGGTTCAGTGAAACCCAAACATCCCAAGCATCCAGACGGCCAGTCCGGGAACCTCACCTACAATGCCCTTCGCAGCAAGGTGACAGAGCTGGAGAGAGAGCTGAGGAGGAAGGATGCTGAGATCCAGGAGCGGGAGTACCACTTGAAGGAACTGCGGGAGCAGCTGTCGAAGCAGACGGTGGCCATTGCCGAGCTCACAGAGGAGCTGCAGAACAAGTGTATCCAGCTGAACAAGCTGCAGGATGTGGTGCACATCCAGGGCGGCAGCCTGCTCCAGGCCTCTCCGGATGGGGTGCCCCTGGAGGTCCACCGGAAGACCTCGGGACTTGTCTCTCTCCACAGCAGGAGGGGAGCAAAGGCTGGGGTGTCTGCTGAGCCAACAACCCGAACCTACGACCTCAACAAACCCCCTGAATTTTCCTTTGAGAAAGCAAGAGTCAGAAAGGAGTCCAGGTAAGAAGTTCCCACACTCCTGTGACTCAGCTGGCCTTAATATTATGAAACACTAGAGAGATATTTCTAAAGCCTCAGTGGTAAAGAGCATATTACCCCTTTCAGATTTGGGGATAAAAGAACTTCTAAAATGGTTTTGTCTTGCAAGAGGGTCCCCCTGTAAGGAGAACTTTTCTTTAAAGCAGGAACTGTGCTTTACCTGGACATTGATTTGTGATATGTATAACTAAGGAACTGAGATTATGAAAGTCATTTCCATTACCTCAAAAACCCTAGGGGAGTTGAAGAAGTAGTTTTAGGATGTCTACCCTTCTCTCTTTCTATAAGAGTGGACTTAAATATATACACATATGCCCTGTCGGGTGTGGCGTAGCGGTTGAGCATCGACCTAGGATCCAGGAGGTCACAGTTTGATTCCGGGTCAGGGAACATGCCTAGGTTCGGGGCTCGATCCCCAGTAGGGGGCGTGCAGGAGGAAGCCAGTCAATGAGGACTCTCTCTCCTTCTCTCTTACTCTCTCTGAAATTAATAAAGATATATTTTAAAAATAAAAAATAAAAGTATACACATATTACAATGAATTATGAATATGTATAGCAAAGCCACTAACTAGCAATTCATCTGCAAATGTTATGAAAAAGGAATAAGCTAGAGTCTCAGAAGGAGATGAATTCATTCATTCACCCCATAGTTCAGATTGAGCACCATACTACTTTCTTCCAGCCACTGTTAGATGCTAAGTACATATCTGTGAATAAATAGACACAGAGCCTTTCTCAGGGAGAGATAGACAGTGTACATGAAAACAAATAAACATTGTATAACTATTAATTAGGATAAATGATATGATAGGTATAGTGTGTAGTGTCTGGAATTAGGAAGAAAGAGGGGCAAAGAGGCAACACAATTGGGATTATCAGGGGGGCCTGGCTGAGAAAGTGACCTTTAACTGAGACCCAAAGGAGAAAATGGAGCATAAATGAGGGCGAAACAATATTTCAGACAGAGGGAGCAATTAAAAGCTAGAATTAATTTTTAAAATAAGGATTTTTATAAAAGCATGTGAATATCTACCACAGCATTCTTATATGTGTGTGTTGTGTGTGTTGTGTGTGTGTGTGTGTGTGTACGTTTCTTTTCTGGCTCACGTTTGAATATCCTAACTAGGAAAGACTGACTAGAAACATCATGAGTTAGGGTCTTCTTTTCACATTATTTTTAAATGAGAAAGTATAAATTAGTTGAAATTAGATCTTTTGATTTGACAATGTCTTGGCTGAGCCTGGATCTCTCTTGCAAAAATTCAAGATTTATGAAATTAAAAAAATTTTAATTTATTCACTCATACAAGTAATATAAATCAAGATAAAACATCTGACTTAAACAAATAAATGATTAATTTTGACAACAGATATAAAGGCAGGTTTAATTCATCAATTTGTTGACAGTACTTGACACATAGTGAATGATCAATAAATATTTGTTAGGGAAACAAGTCATGCTGGATTATTAAGTATATTATTCTGTGGCTGAAAGAAATCTGATAGTTCAGAAGTGTGTTTCTAAGCCAAGATTTTTTATTATTAGTTGGTTTAGAAAGGTCTTATTTAGTCCTTTTAATAACTACTTATTTTTAATGGTATCATTCAAATGGTACACAGATTAAAAAATTATAAGTGTTATAAACTTATGCTTGTTTTTCAAGCATAAGATTGAGCATCATCTAGTGTTCTCTTCTGATATATCAGAGATATATGCACATATAGCAATACTAAATATTCCACATTATATTACTATATATGTATACATAAGCACAATATATTGTTTACCCACAAAAAAAATCTTTCAAATAGCAATGAGCTTGTATATCTAGGACAGTGTGAGAGAATTTAATAGCAATTCATCTTCTTTCACCCTCTCCCTACACATTCTATCAGATTTCTCCTCTTGAATGAAGATTGTGTTCAATTATTTTGTTCCAAAGACTTATGTCCTTCTTGAAGCAAAACACCATTCTCCTGGTTAGATAACTGACCTATCCAAGATAAACATATTTATTTGTAATTCTTTGTTATAACCAGGCCAAGAAAATCAGTAGTTATACACAGTTAGTTTCTGTAGGGAGTGGGACACAGGAGAGAAAAGACATTATAACTCTTGAATAAGGGTTAGCAATGATTCCTCTCATAAAAGCAAGCCAGATGGGTACAAGTCTGTGCTGAGGTCATGATGAAGAAACAGGCTCACTGATTCCTTAATGATTCAGTCCTAAGGATACCAAACTAGATCATTCATGCCCTAATAGTCCCTGTATGCTTTTATAGAGCCTTGCGGTTCTAAATTGGAAATTCATATGGGAACCACTCTTTTTTCGTTGACTGGTTTGTGCCTCAGGTGTGAAGTTTGTGCCTCATTTTTCTTATAAAATATCTCTCTCCTTACCTGTGGAATAACTTGCTAAACACAGGTGACATCATCAATTCAGATATTTCAAATTTTCCAGTTGTTTAAAAGTGCTCAATATTGCAATTCATTTTCCATTTTCAAACAGTTTCAGTTTTAGAGAAAAGCCATAGGTAAACTTTGGATATTTTTATATATCTTTTATACAGTCTATGAAAAATTTTGTAAGAAACAATTTTCTAGAAGTTAGATCATTAAAAAGATGGGAGCATCATTCCCTGATAAAGGGATGATGTCAGTATCCATTGGTTTGGCTGCTTGTCCAGCAGTTCTGTTAGGTAGTAGAGAATTTAAGATATCTGTCAAAATGGTTCCTTCATTTATTTTTAGGTTCACATGATTTATTTGTTGAACTTTTATAAACTTTCCTGGCTGAATTTATGACTAAATTCATTCCTACTATGTGTCCACTACATTTTGGATAAAGTCCCTCCCCCACCCAATATCTGAAAGCTTGAGAGGCTTTTCAGTCTTTTTGTCAAAAAGGATGTCTCTGATGGATACTTAACAGTGAGCAAGAAGTGAGGGGAGACTCAGCCCTCCTGCAATCAACAAGAGTAGGGAGATATGAAGTACTGACAGAAACCAGAGAATAACATTTAGGGAAATGATAGATTTGCAATTTGAGGATTCAGACTCAGGAACTCACCAGAAACCCTAAAACCCACACCACAGCAGTCTGTGAATTTGCTGAGGCCACTGTGCTCAAATACATTATAAATGGCAAGTGAACCTCATCAACTATCGGGCAGTCTGCTCCTGCCAGCTCTGTTGTCCTGTACCCATCCAGTGTACTTATAGGTACTGAAGGGGTAGCTCAAACTATATACATAGTTACCCTTCCTTCCTTCCCTCCTTCCCTCCTTCCCTCCTTCCCCCCTTCCCCCCT